GAGAGGATTCGCCGCCAGGTTTTGGGCTCTCGGCATCCACAGAAGCTACTGTGCTGTTGGTCTTGGGAGGGCGATTGGTTTTTCTGCTACTTGAAAGTCCACTCTTGGGGGAGGTGCTGGCCCCAGCAGGCATGCTGGGGCCAGCAACAGCAAGAGGGGCTGCAGGAAGTATCCGCTTTCTGGAGCCGTCCCCTGCGCCTGGGAGGTCAGCACAGGAGCCCCTGGGGACCGTGTTGCTGGGGGCAGTCCCGGGGAGGCCTGTCCTGCAGGGCAGCTTCCCGGCGGAAGTGCACAGTGCTGGGTGTGGGAGCAGTGGCCCCGGTCCTCAGGCTGGCTGGGAAGAAGGTGGGGTCAGAGAAGAATGCAGTCGCGTCCCCAGCCTCAGCGCTAAGCAGGGGCCTTGCGTATGGACCCTGGAGGCTGGGGTGGACAGTGGGAATTGAGGGCCCGTGGGAGGAGGAGGGCAGGGGAGAGGTGCCCTGTGGGCCACCCTGCAGGGCAGCTGCCGGCTGCCTCTGGGAAGCAGAGTGAATGAGTGGCTCCTGAGAGGGATTTGGCTGGGCCGCAGATGACCAGGAAGAGGGAAAGGGTTGCCTGCTGCCTGAGGGCCCAGCAGTGTTCAGCCAGGAAGGCATTCGTGGCGCTCAGAACCCGGCCCAGCCAAAGCTTTGCTTTTGTTCAGCATCAGTAACCTCAGTGACTGCTTCCTGGCCTTGGCTAAAGTCGAGTGTAGTAGCCTCAGTGAGGTGGTGCTGGCCTGGTGCGCAGCCTGCAGGCCCTGGCGTGGTGTTGCTGGCTGCCGACGTCCAGGTCAGAGCTCTGGGAGCAGCAAGTGTCCGTGGCAGGCACAGGGACCGACCTCGGCCTGCTGAGACATTCAGACTCCTGCGGGGAGTGCACCTGCCATGCACCTGTTGCTCCCGCACCTGTCTCGCCGTCAGGACAAACAAAGCGTGCAGAGGAGGACCACGGGGGTGAGGTTGAGTCTGTTGGATGTCACACGACAGTTCCATGACGAGTGGTGGAGTCTCCCACTACTGGGGACCGAGCCCTGATTCTGGAGAAGATGAAAGAGATGGCAGTGCAGACAGAGCTCAGGGGCTCCTCTACCGCAGGATCTGGTACTCAGGCTCCCAGGACTCACGTGGAGCGAGGACGGCCATCAGGGCTCAGTCGGGGAGCTGCAGGTGCAGTCTGCAGGCGTCTGTCAGGTGGGGGTGCAGGGGAGGCTCCCTGTGCGGGGTGGGGTGGGGCGAGCCGGAGGGGAGGGGCTGGCGCTGGTGGTGCGGGGGTTGGGAAGTCACCATTTCTCCACTTGGGCATCGAGGACTGCAGCACTGAATCTGGCCGTGGGCCGCTGGGTGGGAGCTCTGTGAGGCAGAGGCTGCCGTGACCACGGTGAGTCCCGTAGAAGGGAGGTGGCTGATCTTCCGTGGGAGGGGCTCTGGAACATTCTCCCCCACAGCCCCTTTGGCAGCCAGACAGAGGCTGGGAGTGGGGATGGAACAGGACGCCTCTGTTCCTGGCTTGCATAAATTAATTCCTGGCACACGGAGATGGCAAGAAAGGCAGCCTGGTGCGAGCAGCACACACAGCCGCCGCACTCAGCGGGACGGATGGGTGAGGAGTGGCGGCGGCCTCCAGAGGGAGATGGCTGCGTGGGTGGGGATTTCTCCGGAGGTGCCGAGTGTGAGAGCTCGCGGGTGGATGTCTCTGCGTCTGGGCAGAGTGCTGAGGAGGGCGGCGGAGGCAGCAGGGCTGCTCTGGAAGGAGCCCTGAGGTGTCTGGGTCTGCTTCAGGGACAGGTGGCCACTTCAGGGCCTAGGCTTTCCAGCCAGGACTAACCCCACCTGGCCAGGACTCCCCCTCACGGCCAGGACTCCCCCTCCCAATCAGGACTCCCCCTCCTAGTCAGGACTCCCCCTCCCAACCAGGACTCCCCCTCCTAGCCAGGACTCCCCCCCCCCCCCCAGCCAGGACTCCCTCTCCTGGCCAGGACTCCCCACCCAGCCAGGACTCCCCCTCCCAACCAGGACTCCCCCTCCCGGACCAGGACTCCCCCCTCCCAGCCAGGACTCCCCCCTCCCGGCCAGGACTCCCCCTCCCAACACAGGACTCCCCCTCCTAGCCAGGACTCCCCCCCCCCTCATCTCCTATCCAGGACTCCCTCTCCTGGCCAGGACTCCCCCCTCCCAGCCAGGACTCCCCCCTCCCAGCCAGGACTCCCCCCTCCCGGCCAGGACTCCCCCCTCCTGGCCAGGACTCCCTCTCCCGGCCAGGACTCCCCCCTCCCAGCCAGGACTCCCCCCTCCCGGCCAGGACTCCCTCTCCCGGCCAGGACTCCCTCTCCTGGCCAGGACTCCCCCTCCCCGCCAGGACTCCTCCCTCCACGGCTCAGGATTCTGCCACTGGGGCTTCCTCCCTAGGGTCTTACAGGTATGAATGGACTTTGATAAATCCTTTTTAAAATTTCAACCACTCTTGGGAGATGTCATTCACCTGTTTTTCCTCATTTTATTTTGTTAATGGAAATAAAATTCCCAAAATGTAAATTTCACCATTTCAAGGCAAATACTTCAGTGGCACTTATTTATTAATATATTTTTAAATATTTATTTATTATTTGAAAGAATTACACAGAGAGAAATACAGAGTGATTTTCCATTTGTATGTTCACTCTCCAAATGGCTCCAGTGGCCAGGACGGTCCAGGCTGAAGCCAGAGCCAGGAGCCTTTTACACCCACGGGGGTGCAGGGCCAAGCACTGGGGCTGTCTTCCGCTGCTTTCCCAGGGGTACTGATGGGGAGCTGGAGTGGAAGAGAGCCGCCGGGACTCAAGCCAGTGCCCACGTGGGTGTTGGCGCCGCAGGTAGCAGCTCTCTCCGCTCTGCTCGCAGCCGGCCCTGCTTCACTGGCACTTGGCGCATTCACAGCATGTGCAACGCCTCCTCTGTCTGGTGCCGAACGTCTCACCACCCCCAGAGAAGCCCGGAGTGCCCTCCTGCAGGCTGCACGCAGAGGGCCTCGTCCGGCGCGGCCTTCCTGTGCGGCCTCTGTCAGCCGGCGTTGCGATTTCAGGGTGACCTTTGCTGCACATCTTTGTACCTCGTTACTTCTCCTGGCTGAGTCGTGGTCCGGCGTGCACACTGACCGCGTTGTGTGTGTCCACGCGCCAGCCGGCAGGGCTGTGAGTCATCTACCGTTTGGGTGTTGTGACCGGGGCTGCCTGGAGCTGGTGGTTGTGGATTTATCACTGCTTGGTTGCAACTCCTGGAGAGACACCAGGAGCGGAATTGCCGGTTGTGTGATGAGTCTGCGTTCGACTTGCAGAGGAGCTGGCACAGCACCTGCCGCAGTGGCTGCGGCATTTCACGTCCCACCCTCACCTCACGGGTCCTGTGTTTTATTTTAGCTGTTGTGATGGCTGTGAGCAGTGTCATCGTGTTGTTAAAGCATTTTTATTTATTTGAAAGGCAGGGAGTGGGAGGGAGGGAGGGAGGGAGCGAGGAAGGGGGTGGGCAGAGAGAGAGACAGGCAGAGAGAAAGCCATCCACTGGCTCGCTCCCCAAGTGCCCACAGCAGCTGGGCTGTACCTGGTGAAGCCAGGATCCGTGAGCTCAGCCTGGGTCTGCCACGTGGCTGGCAGACACTCAAGTGCTCGCGGCATCCTCTGCCTCCCAGGTGCACCCAGCAGGACGCTGAGGGCCTGCACGGTGAGAGGTGCTGTGGGCATCCCAGGCAGTACCCTGACTGCTGCGCCAGCCTCTGCCCCTTGCTGTGGCTCATCTGAGCTCTCCCACGTGCTTGTTGGCCACCTGTGCGTCGTCCCTGGAGAAATGTCAGGAGACCGTGGCCTTCTCTGTATTGAGGACTTGTGTTTCTGTGGTTGAGTGGTGGGAGTTGTTGGTGTGTGCCGGTTCCTGACCCTTGTCAGACAGAAGCCGTGAGCGCTGTGCCTCGGCCTGTAGGTGTGAAGTTAACTCCGTCATCTTGGAGGGAGCCTAGGAGGCTGCCCTTGCCGGCTCTCCTCACCTCCACCTCCTCCACGTGATGGTTTCCTGCCTCCGCCCTGTTTCTGTTCCGTAGGAAAGGGAGCCCAGAGCTCTGCCGGGCTTCTCTCACTGGCGAGCTGGTGACCTCACTGCCACGCATCACTGACCACATCCCTGAAGTCCAAGCTCGCCCTGGGGGTGGGTTTAGTATTTATGCTTAGTATGTACCTTTAGTACTTATACTCAGTACCTACACTTAGTGCTTGTGCTTAGTACTTACATTTAGTACTTATGCTTAGTACTCACAATTGGTACTTGTGTTCAGCTAAGGCACAGTGAGCAGTGGGTCCTCCGTGGCCTGCCTTCCTCCTGCAGGCTCTCCAGAAGTGTCACAGTGGGTATGTCCGAGGCTGCGAGGAGCTCCTGCTGGCTGTCACACAGGACACGCGTCCTGGGCAGTAATAGTCTGAGGGTCATTCAGGCAGGGACAGAGGGGTGACGCCCCAGCCTGAAGTCCGCTTGGCTTTCCTCAGTGGGAAGCCCCTGGTCCCTTGCGTTCTTCCTGGAGGAGCCGAGTCGTGCACGCGATGCACCAGGCAGTACCTGGCCGCGTTACCCGCCAGGATGTGATGCTGGCTGCCCCTTCCCTGTCACGGTGTGGCCGTCGCAGCCGCCTCTTGGGCCGGCACAGGCCCCGCAGGTGAGCAGCAGTCTCCATGGAGCCCACCCCGCGTGTCCATGCTGTGAGCACCACGCCGGGACCTGCAGCAGACAGGGCTGCGTGCCCACGTGTGATGAGACAGACACCTAACGAGCAGGGGCTGTGGCTCGTGAAGCCCGCGGCGCACTCGAGCAGGGGCTGTGGCTGGTGAAGCCCGCGGCGCACTCCTTGTTAAAGGAGTGTTTGCTGCTGGGGAGAGGGGCCGGGCTTTGGACGCCTCTGGAGGCCTGCCCAAGTGCCCGTCTGAGCCAGAGTGCCTTACCCTGTGTCGCTTTCTCTGCCCACAGAATCAAGGCGGCTGCAGGCGTGCGGATAACTGCAGTGAGGGTCAGCGAGGAGGACCAGTGGACCGTCCAGGAGGAGATCGAGCAGGACGGCGCGCAGACCACGGCCAGCCTGGCGTGCGTGGGCCATCCCCCGGACGTGCAGAGCAGGTATGCGGCGCCGCAGCGGGCGGAGTGCTGGGCATGTCTGTGGGACTGGGAGCTCTTGGCCCAGCCTGGCGTCCGGCTGGGACAGCTCCGGCGGGAGGAGCCGTGGCCTGAGACCCTGTAATCGCCTGAGTTCACCTTTGTCACAGCACTCTGCTTGAGCCTCCTCCTGGGTGAGGAGTTCGAATCAGGTGGCCAGCATGTCTGGTGTCACCCGTCACCCCCACCGCCTGAGCAGCCCCACAGAGGTGGGTGCTCAGTGGAAGGCAGGAGAGACCGAGAGACTGCCCTGGGAAGGCTTGGCAGAGCAGGGGAGAGCCAGGGCAAGGCCTCAGCACCCACCGCACTCTGTCCCCCAGAGATTCAGCCCCCAACTCCAAGCAGGGCCCGTGCCGGAGCTGACAGCTGCCAGCCGGCGATGGCGCCTCACCCGATCTGGCAGTGCAGGCTGGGCAGCGGTCCCAGGCGTGACATCAGCAAAATGTTTAGGTGCACAGGGATGACGGCCCGATAGCTTTAGCCACCCTCTTCTGCTCATTTTTTTTGAAAAGGGGGCACTTCCATAGCAGTGATAGCAATAATTTAAAATACAGGTCTCCACCTCTGCACTGTGACAAAGGTGAACTCGGGGGCCCCTGCTGGGTCTGTTGCTGGCCACTCTGTGTGATCACAACCCCTTCTCTCTCTTCTCCAGCCCAGGAAGTCTCTGGGGTCCACAGGATACACAGCAGAGGCACCCCGTGAATGAACGAGGGTGTGCGTGGGGGGAGTGTGGGAGGGTGAGAAGGGGAGTGACAGGCAGGGCAAGTCAGAAGGCTCAGCATGGGTGACCTGGCCAACCTGGTGCTTTGGCCTGCCTGCTTTGAGGGCCTCTGCAAAGCGAGGGCTGTGACTCAGGTGAAGTGGTCATGGGAGATGGTGTTGGGGAGCCGTGGGCTAAGCCACCACCTGCGAGATGCCAGCACCCCATAACAGAGCGCAAGTTCGAGTCCCAGCTGCTCCACTTCCGATCCAGCTCCATGCTAGCGCACCGGGGAAAGCAGTAGATGACAGCCCAAGTGTTTGGGCCCCTGCACCCACCCAGGAGACCTGGATGGAGCTCCTGGATCCTGGCTTTGGCCTGGACCAGCCCTGGCCATTGTGAACATTTTGGGGAGTGCACCAGCTGGTGGAAGCCCCCCTTCTCTCCCTCCCTCTCTCTCTCTCCCCCTCTCTCTCTCTCCCCCTCCCTCCCCCTCCCTCTCTCTCTCCCTCTCTCCCTCCCTCCCTCTCTCCCTCTCCCTCCCTCCCTCTCTCTCCCTCTCCCTCCCTCCCTCTCTCCCCCTCTCCCTCCCTCCCTCTCTCTCCCTCTCCCTCCCTCCCTCTCTCCCTCTCTCCCTCTCCCTCTCTCCCCCTCTCTCCCTCTCTCCCTCTCTCCTCCCCCTTCTCCCTCTCCCTCTGATACTCTGCCTTTCACATAAATAAAACAAGTCTTAAACCAAAGAAGGCTTCTGTTCAGAGTCGCTGTTCTATCCACCCACTAGAAGAGTGTCCAGTCTGTGACCTCACTTGACCCCAGATGTCCCTGGAGAGCCGCACCTTCCCGCTCAGCACTGCCAGGTCCTGAGATGTTCATGTCGGGAGAAAGCCTGGGGTTTTTGTGTTTACCCAGGTGCTTTCCATTGCAAGCAGTAGAATACCCATCTGAGTGTGGCTGCTACATGTTGGGATTGATCATCTTGTGTAACGAGACGTAGAGCTGGGTGGTTCTATGGTGGGTGGGTCCGGCAGCACCATGGTGCCCCCTGGGCACGTCCTATCTTCCCACGCCATGTGCTTGGTGCATTGGCTCTTACCCCCCAGCTTGTATCCTCATGGACACAAGATAGCTGCAGCCCTTCCAGGCATCACAGACCCACCAGCTATATACCACAGCTGAAAGGAGGGGGCCTTCTCCCGTGTCTCTCTCTCCAGGAAGAAAACCTTTCCCGCCTCCTCCCTTAGATCCTGCCAGGAAGCACTGGGCACCGTGGCCTTGCCCAGGAAGCAGGGTGGTCCTGGCAAGGGAGCACCTGGTGCTGCACTCAGGTTTGTAGCAGGAGGAGGTCTGTGTGTCGGAAGCGAGGATGGTCGCCACGCTCTGAGAAGCTGGGCTCTGCCAGGGTTCTGCTTGGCCTTCGGCTTCGCGCCCGACCCTGGGGCTCTGCCTCCGGAGTCGAGCACTTGCCCTTGGTGTCTGCGCCCGTGAAGTGCCTTCGTCCAGCTGGTGCTACTCTGTCCCGTGCTTCCAAGGGGACTTGAGTCCCCTGTGGATGCCGTCTGGGGGAGCCGGGAGCCGGGGGTGCTGACCCGGTCTGTTCCCATCTTCCTTCCAGCTGGGCTTTTGCTTAGGGGTGCTGTCCTCCTGGAGGCAGCACGGTGGCCCCAGCTCCTGCCATCCACACCGATGACTTGGTCACTCTTCCCAGAGTGGCTGTGGTCACTGCCTGGTCTGCTGTCACCTGGGTCATGTGCTCCTGGAGAAGTCCCACCTACAGGGCTGAGGCAGACCGGGAGGGGGCTGGGGTGGACAGTGGCCGCTGACGGGGCAGGAGCTGCAGTGGCCTCTCGGACCCTGGTGCTCGCGCTTCTGACTGCCTGCTCGTGGACTTTGCATCTGGATGCACAGCAGTGGCCGCGTGGGCCACGCCCAGGAACTCAGCTCTGAAGAAATCTTTGACCGCGTGGCAAGGTTTGAAATGGGAAGGACAGTGTGGGTTCTTACCGCAGTTGTCCTGTTCCGGTTTTGTGGGGATTGGTTCTGCATAGGAGAAGAGGCCTTGTGAGAGAGAGCAGAGGCGCTGTGCGGGCAGAGTGGGGCGGTGATGGGACGGCCCCGCCTCCCCGCCTGGCGTGCCAGGTTCGACTCCCTTGGGCAGGGAGTGTTGTGCAGCAATGACGGTGTGCTTGTCCAAATCCATCCCAGAATCGAAATAAATCCTTGCTTTCTTTTGTACTTTTTTGTTGAATTGTGATATCAAATGAAGCATGAGACTGCGGCTCAGGGACCGTGTGTGCTGGTGAACAAAGACAGTGCAGGCACACGGCCCTGACCACACGCCCCGCGGAAGCTGTGATGTCTGGATTGGGGCCGCCTGGGCTGTGATGGCGTTCATAACAGAATGGAATGTGCACACTGCCGGAACTCTGTGATAAGAATTCGACATGCGCTGTATGGGGAGACCCGATGCCTGGGTGAGACAGCCGGGGAAGGTCTTAATTTAGAGCATTTTAGTGAACACTCATGGTGAGGGAATGTGAGTGATAAAGATGAACCACGAGATACAGAACAGTGCTGCCCAGAGATTACAAACAGGAGCCAGGCGGGGCGTGTGCACGGCAGATCACCCGTGGCCCGAGGAAACGAAAGCTGGACAGCCCCAGGTGGGCTCGATCCTGCAGCCCCTTCTGCCTGGCTGGGGGGACCCGACCCCAGAGAGGGTAAAGCTGTGACTGTGTGCTCAGAGACCACAGCGAGGAGCACGTCCTCACCCAACCTGGCCACAGGCCGGGCGGAGCAGAGCTCCGGAACTCCAGGGAAAAACGCAGAGAGAGAGTGCCCCCAGCAGGAGCAGGCTTGCCCACTGGCTGTCACTGACTCAGACGACTGCGGTAACCTGGTTCCCTGCTCACCACCTCGTGGGCCGGCTCAGTCCCATTTCTGTTGCCTGTGACACAGCACACATAGAAACAGGCTGAGCTTTTGGGCTGGTGCTGTGGCACCTGCATCCCATGTAGGTGCTGGTTCGAATCCCAGCTGCTCCTTTTCCAACCCAGCTCCCTGCTATGTCCTGGGAAAGCAGTAGAAGATGGCCCAAGTGCTTGGGCCTCTGCACCCCCGTGGGAGACCCGGAAGAAGCTTCTGGCTGCTGGCTTCAGATCGGCACAGCTCTGGCCAGTGCGGCCATCTGGGGAGTGAACCAGCAGATGGAGGACCTCTCTTTCTTCTCTCTCTGTAATTATACCTCTCAGATAAGTAAATAAAATCTTAGAAAAAAAGAAAGAAATGGGCTGAGCTTGGCTTACGGTTGCAGAGGGGCAGGGTCCAGGGGACGGGACGGGGCCCAGGGGACTCTGCTGGCAGAGTCCCGGGCCATGCAGGGCCCCACGCATCAAGAGACAAGGGTTGAGTCCATGTGTCTGTTCCTCTCTCCCTTTTCTTAGGAAGCTGCCAGGACAAGGGTACCTGGAAGTGTTCATGGTAAAGTGGAATTTAAAAGTAAGGTTATTTTAGGGGCCGGTGCTGTGGCGTAGCGGGTAAAGCCGCTGCCTGCAGTGCCCGCATCCCATGTGGGTCCCAGTTCGAGTCCTGGTTGCTCCACTTCCAATCCAGCTCTCTACTATGGCCTGGGAAAGCAGTAGAAGATGGCCCAAGTCCTTGGGCCCCTGTACCTGTGTGGGAGACCTGAAAGAAGCTCCTGGCTCTGGATCTGGCGCAGCTCCGGCCTTTGCAGCCATTTAGGTAATGAACCGGTGGATGGAAGATCTTTCTCTGTCTCTGCCTCTCTGTAACTGTCTTTCCAATAAATAAATATTTAAAAAGTTTTTAAAAATAAGGTTATATAGTACAAAAATTACTTAAATTCAAGTGTAAATGTGTCATGACACACATTGATGTTAAGACATGCATAGATGCCGGCGCTGCGGCTCACTAAGCCAATCCTCCGCCTTGCGGCGCCGGCACACGGGGTTCTAGTCCCGGTCGGGGTGCCGGATTCTGTCCCGGTTGCCCCTCTTCCAGGCCAGCTCTCTGCTGTGGCCAGGGAGTGCAGTGGAGGATGGTCCAAGTGCTTGGGCCCTGCACCCCATGGGAGACCAGGAGAAGCACCTGGCTCCTGGCTTCGGATCAGCGTGGTGTGCCGGCCGCGGCGGCCATTGGAGGGTGAACCAACGGCAAAGGAAGACCTTTCTCTCTGTCTCTCTCTCTCACTGTCCACTCTGCCTGTCAAAAAATTAAAAAAAAAAAAGACATGCATAGGTCTTGA